AAGGCTTGTAGAAATACACACACAGCACAAGGAATGCTAGGGTCAGTGTGGACCCATGCTACAATGGGACGGGGTACCTGATATGAAGGACATGTAGGGCATGAAGCATCCTGTGCTGTGTGTGACCATCTAAAAATGTCTGAGGGAAAAAGAGCTCAGTACCAGAGTGTGACTCAGTCATTGCAATGACTGAGAGACGGCAGTTCTGAGCAAAGAAATTCTGAGGGTACCGGGCTCCGTGCAAGACACAAATTGATCTTATTTTAATTATGAAGAATGTGGAAGATGTTCATTAATGTCAGTAAAAATGAATCCATGGTTTGAAGACAAAGATAGAAATCAATGAAAATATGCTAACACACTTCTCAATTTGAACTATTCTCATGAGTCTTCTCTCTTTTTAGGTTGAAAACACCAGTCCGTGAGGAGACTTTGTCTCTATTTACATTTTTATTTCTTCTTAAATGCAATGTTTTCCAGCACTCTGTTTGCAGGACACAGATGCCTTCAGGTACAGGAACAGACAGTGGTGCCAGTGCCAATGCCCTGTGACCAATGCCCAGCGTCCACCGCTGCTCCACCCTGCTGCGTATTTGATGTCCCTCATCCTCCAGGTGTCTCCAGCTCTCCTAAATCAATGACCGTGGTTTAGGGCATGTTTTCAGCAGGCCATCTGGACACATGCTCTTCCCACTGCTCTCCAGATTTCCCCATCCCTCGCTCTTTCTTCACTCCAATATCTCCCAACTATCTGCCTGATTTGTGACCTTTAGGAAGATTACTGGAATTTGCTCCATTCTACAAAATCTGATGGACTCTTTGATCTGCCCCTTAACTGTGATTATGTTTATCCATTCCTATCTCTGCCTAACTCATTTTTTGTACAAATACGCTCTGTGAAAGACAAGCCTCATTAGATGCATCTTGGACAAGGCATGCAGTTGAACACTGTGTTTTACTGTCCATTCAAATGCATCACATTTCCTTCAGTTTGTTGGCAAAAAAAAAAAAAAAAAGAGCAATCTTTCATTGCCCATGTGCAGCTGATTCTCTGAGGAAAGCTGGGGGGAGTTGGTGCAAAGGGTGTTTAAAACTGAGCAGATGACTGCAGAGGGGAAGAGTGATGGTAGGAAAACTAATGCAAGTCCCATGGGGTCAATGGGAGTAGAAATGAGGTGGGGAAGTTGAGGAGTAATTTTGTGCACACAGTGACTGAGAAAAGTTCATAAGGGAACATCCTGGATCAATATCAACTGCCAAGTGCTGATTAAAATCCTTGCTTAAACACAACTATATATAAATAGCAAATGAATGTCGGTTGGATTCTTCCTCATTAAGGTCGCTCCAGACACCTCTCCAGTTTGCTGTACAAGTTCTCAACACATAAAAAAAAGACAGGAAGGCACAAGGCACAGGAGGCTTCTGTGGGTTGTAATGGGCCCCAGGGGGCAATTGCTGCTGAGTCCATCAACCTCCAGTGCAGAGAGAAGAGAAGATTGCACAAAGTGCTCAAGGAGACAAAGTCAGAAGTAACAGTGAAGTTTCTTGGAGTATTAATGGGCCCCTCTGAGGGCCATTCACAAGCAAGCTTCCCCAGGGACTCGTTAGAGCAGAGAATTGGAAGCCACGATTGCAGGCAGACCAAGGCACTGGGATGGTGGCTGTGATGCTGAGAAAAGCCTCCTTTGTCTTGTGAAGCAGAAAGGCCAAGCCCTGATCCCCAGAGCCTTGGCAGGGAGATCCTGTCCCTCATGCTGGCTCAGGGTCCTTCCTGAAAGAGAAGGGGACAGCAGCTCCCAGACTCTGCATGGGATGCAAGGATGCCGTGAGGCCCAAGTCCCATGTGGGCAGTGTGTCTCGTCCCAGGATGTGGGATGTGAGAAACGACTACTCTGAACAAGCAGTCAATCCCAATGAAACTTTGAACTTTGAACAGATCTCTCAGGGCCGAGGTGAAGGCACCACTTCCTCACTGGGAAGTTTGGCTCTGACGATGCCATCTGTGATACTAACCCACATGCAGAGCTCCTTTCGTGTGCTGCACTCTTTCCACAATAAACCCATGCAGCACTGCAGGCTTGGGGATGAGTGGCTGGATGACTGTGAAGAGCAAAGGGACCTGGGGGTGTTGGTTGATGCTTGGCTGAATGTGAGCAGACAGCATGCCCAGGTGGCCGTTAGGGAAAACGGCATCCTGGCCTGCATTAGAAATAGTGTGGCCAGCAGGAGCTGGGAGGACATCATCCCCCTGTACTCAGCACTGGTGAGGTCACACCTCAAGTACTGTGTTCAGTTTTGGGCCCCTCACTACAAGAAAGACCCTGAAACTTGTCCAGAGAAGGGCAACAAAGCTGGTGAGGGGTCTGGAGCACAGGTCTTATGAGGAGTAGCTGAGAGAGCTGGGATTGTTCAGACTGGAGAAGACGAGGCTCAGGGGAGACCTCCTTGCACTCTCCCACATCCTAAAGGCAGGTTGTGATGAGGAGGGGTTTGGCCTCTTCTGCCAGGCAACAAACAGGACCCGAGGAAGTGGCCACAAGTTGTACCAGAGGAGCTTTAGCTTAGACATAAGGAAGAACTTGTTCTCTCAGAGAGTGGTCAGGCACTGAATGGCTGCTCAGGAGGTTGTGGAGGCTCCGTCCCTGGCAGCGTTCAACAGATGTCAGGACGAGGAGCTGTGAGATCTGGTTTAGTGCTTGTGGTAGTAATGATGATGGGAGGACGGTTGGACTCGATGATCTTACAGGACATTTCTGACCATGGAGTGTTATGATTCTGTGATTCTATGATTCTAATCTGTATTGATGCACCATCACTGCACTGCTGCCTGCTGTGACAGAACAGTGGATCTGCCATCACTCTGCTCCTTCCCACTGTGACAGCACAGTGACCCTGACATTATGATGTTCCTTCCCACTGTCACAGAACAACAACTGCAACCCCACTGTGCTCATATCAGCTGTGACAGCACAGTGGAGCTGAAATCACTGAGTTTGTCTCTCCTTTACAGTGCAGTGACTCTGACATCACTGTAATACTGACCACTGCCACAACTCAGTAATTCTGACATCACTGCTCTCCGCATTTCTGATACACCACTGTGGCATTGCTGAACTCCTATCCACTGTGACAGCACAGTGACTTCAACATCACTGTGCTTGTACCTGCTATCATAGAATCCTGGCATATCCCGCAATGGAAGGGACCCATAAGGATCATTAAGTCCAACTTTTGGCTCCACACATCTGCCCTAAAAGCAGACCGTATGACTGAGTGTGTTGCCTTGTCCCGGAGTTATCTAGAGCAATCTGTGCCCCTGACAGAGGGCAGCAGGCCTGCAGTCCTACTGGTCAAAAATTAAAGTATGAATGATAATAACAATAACAACAACAATAATAATAACAAATCAGCGGCAACAATCTAAGGAGGAAACATAATTTTACTAAATATGGTATTGGAATGCAAGATAAAAGATAACAAACAATATTATAAACTAAAATTGAAATTTAGGGTAATAAATCATATAAAATGAGAGAGCGAGCGTCTGAAATCAAAAGCCTTGCTTTGAACTGGAGTCGCACGGCTGGGGAGCGAAGCCACACACTGCAGGGCAGCGAGCAAGGGAGAGATCCTGGGACTTCCTGCCATGGCTGATCTTCCCCTCTGAACTCAGAGTCCTCTGGGTATGCAGTTCTTCTCTCCTGAGAGCCAGGGATCCAGAAAGTTGTCCGTCCACAGACCTGCAGTATTGACTCCTTAATTCCCTGTGCTTTACATGATGTTATGATGTGGAGTACCAATAACAAGGATCGTAAAACCATGGCACCAGATGGGGCATTTGCAGCTTTGCTAGGCACACACAATCTGCTAGAACAAAAAATGCTGCAGGAATCAGTCTGTGTACTGGTGATTAATTCATCTGACTTCAAAGTACGTTGTGCAGAGGTGACCCTGTTGTCTATCAGGAGCTGCCAATGCAGAGACCTAAGGACATCCCCAGGGAGAGCAGTGAGGAAGAGAAAATGACATCTTCTGCTGGAGAGCTGGGCCGGGCTGCTGGGACACAGGGAGCTCATAAAAGTGGGCAGTGCTGCAGAGAGACGGCTGTGCCCAGGAGCAGCTCTTCTACACAGCACAGCCTGCAGGTGACAGGAGGAGAGCAGAGAAAGGAGAGAGAGCTTGTAGGATGTGTATGGTGTGAGCAGGCTGTGAGCTCACTGGAGGAGCATCGCTGACAGCCTCTGACAAGGTCAGTCTCACTGCAGGCTGTGACTCTGCCGCCTGCCAGGCTCGGTGCTCAGCCTGCCTGGGGAGCTGCCCAGGGCGCTGCGGGGAGATGTGTGGGGGGAAGGAGCCCCTCGGCAGGGCAGGGCAGGGCAGGGCAGGGCAGGGCAGGGCAGGGCAGGGCAGGGCAGGGCAGGAGCCTTCTGCTGCTGGGGGCATGGGGATCACAGCTTCAGCGCTCCCAGAGTGTCTCCAAGGGCACTTTGCAAGAGGAGAGACAAGGCAGGGATTTTCCCATACCTGTCCTTAGGGAAGGAGAATGAGTTGGAGGCAGAGATCTGAAAGGAGATGTGAAATATGAACACAGCTATAAGAGTCCTGAACTGTACGTTTCTCAGTCTGCAGTTACATGCACAAACTCCTCATGTGCTTTCAGCCCCTCTTCTCCCAAAGGATTGCACCAGCTGAAATTTCCATGCTTCTCTGCAGACATGAATAATGCACTTGTCCAGCAAACAGGCAGCTTTCTCTAGTAGAAATTCAAGTGCACAGAGGTAGGAATGGGCACTCTGAGTGCAGACAGACAAAAGATACATGAATGGAAATATGTCATAGGAAGAAAGTATCCAGGAGGCTGGGATATGATTAGGCAATGAGAGGAAAGCAAGAGCTCCTTCATCTTTGACTTCTCAAGGGATGGTGAAGCTCATGTAAATTCAAGTTATGGAGTTAAATGAACCCTGTCCTAAGAGAAAGAAACACTGTTATAGTATAAGGGTGGAGTGTCTCTGAAAAAGCTCTTGACTCGTCATTATCTTCTGCACTCTGCACAGGACTCCAGGCCCAGCAGGAACTGCAGATGCCCAACAGCAGCTCCATCAGCCAGTTCCTCCTCCTGGCGTTGGCAGACACGCGGCAGCTGCAGCTCCTGCACTTCTGGCTCTTGCTGGGCATCTACCTGGCTGCCCTCCTGGGCAACGGCCTCATCAGCACAGCCGTAGCCTGCCACCACCGCCTGCACACCCCCATGTACTTCTTCCTGCTCAACCTCGCCCTCCTCGACCTGGGCTGCATCTCCACCACTCTCCCCAAAGCCATGGCCAATGCCCTCTGGGACACCAGGCACATCTCCTATGCTGGATGTGTTGCACAGACCTTTCTGTTTGTCTTTCTGATATCAGCAGAGTATTCCATTCTCACCATCATGTCCTATGACCGCTACGTTGCCATCTGCAAGCCCCTGCACTACGGGACCTTGATGGACAGCAGAGCTTGTGCCACCATGGCAGCAGCTGCCTGGGGCACTGGGCTTCTCTATTCCCTCCTGCACACTGCCAATACATTTTCTCAGCCACTGTGCCATGGCAATGCTGTGGATCAGTTCTTCTGTGAAATCCCCCAAATCCTCAAGCTTTCCTGCTCACAGTCTTACCTCAGGGAAATTTGGCTTCTTGTGATCAGTGCCTCTTTAGCATTTGGGTGCTTTGTGTTCATTCTTTTCTCCTATGTGCAGATCTTCAGGGCCGTGCTGAGAATGCCCTCTGAGCAGGGACAGCACAAAGCCTTCTCCACGTGCCTCCCTCACCTGTCCGTGGTCTCTCTGTTTCTCAGCAGTGCCTTTTTTGGCAATCTGAGGCCCACCTCCATCTCCTCCCCATCCCTGGACCTGGTGGTGTCATTTCTGTACTCAGTGGTGCCTCCAGCAGTGAATCCCCTCATCTACAGCGTGAGGAACCAGGAGCTCAAGAATGCAGTGAGGAAAATGATGCCCTGGTCACAGTTTAGCAGGGATAAACTTCTCATCTGTCTCTATAAATATCTCACAGTTTGTCCCATAGCACACCTATATTATGTTTTTTAATGTGTGTAATAATTATATATTAGTAGATACATTTTTTCTTTGCAGTTCATATATATATGTGTGTATATAATTATCATTAGTGGTTATCATGATCCTAAACATGTTTTTGGATTCCAACCACTTCTCTGAGGCATCATCCTGCTCTTTCTCCTGGAGTACATATGAACTCTGGGTCAGTGCTGACTTTCTAACAAACTCTGTGTTCCATCTCTGTATCTGCAGGCAAATGAGATGCCAGCAAGCACCGTGGAGCTGAAATTGGCTGGATTAGCAAAAGGGATCAGTGTATTAGAATAAGGACCAATTTATTACATTAGCAAAAGGAATCAGTGTGTGCTCATCCTAAATCTTCCCAGTTTAGCTTTGCTTGATGTGTGAACAGCCCTGTTTTTATCACTTCTGTTTCACGGAAGAACTGAAATCACTTTTTTGCCTCTGCCAGGTATAAGGACTTGTTCTTGGGTTTGGCATAAACTGTGTACAGTTATGGTGCACCAAGATAGAAAGATGCTAGTTGTGGTAAAACAAGCAATGGACATTTACCAAACTGGGGGAAAAGAGCCCCAGTGAGCCCCACGGTGAGCCAGGGTGCACGGTGATGAAGAGGAAGATGGAATGAAGGGGAGGAGGTAGGTGCTGTTAGAAGGAGGACATGCGGTGTCAGGGGCTGTGCTGGGGCACATCTCTGTACCACTGCACGCATGCTGCCCCACACAGTGCCTGCACTGAGCTGCCAGGGGCTGCCTGTGGGGTGGTAGAGCCGGGCTGTCCTGCAGAAGGGAAGGCACACGGAGCCTCGTGCTGCAGGGCTGGGACCCCAAAATCACCTGGAACTCAGCGCCCAGCTGTGCTGTGCTCACCTTGCCTGGCTCCCAGGTGCTGCCTGTGCTGCTCTGTCACTGCCCCTCCTAGCAGGACGGGGGAGAAACACGGTTCAGCAATTCCTGAGTCGTGGCATAAGGATGCTTTATTCTTTCCTTGCTTAAAACCCCGTGACAACAAATGATGTGTGGTAATGGCTATGGATCAAATGCAGGGTTTTGTTGTTGTTGTTTTTCCTTCAGACTTTGGAGCAGTTATTGAACGCAGTGTCCCTGTCACCTTAAAATATTACATGAAACTACACCTAACCCACGACACATGTGACTAATATTTTATATAATTTAGATGATTTCCAACACAGAAATCTGCTCACTGTTAGGATTTCACAACCCTCTTATTCCTTTCCTATTTACTCTAATTAAAGTGATGTGCTACATTTGGATTTCAGTTTTGTCCTCTCACGTCCTGAACTTTTTTTCTTTTTTTTTTCCCCTAATATTTAACAGTAACTTCCTAAGTTAACTCTGTGTACCAATTATTTCTGTTCTTTCTGTCAGACCAGTGTATTATGTCACTTTACTTCAGGTAAAGATTCACTTCTGAATGCTTTGGTCATGTGCTGAACTCCACACCATTCCAATAACAGCTCTCTGGATCCCAAAGTGAAGGTTGCTAAGTTACAGAAGCACACTTATCCACCAGGTGCCAGTTGTAAGCAAAGCAACAATCTAATAAACAATTTCTTTGTGTGTGCTGGAAAATGATGTGTTTTGCTGTAACACAGCCTTGAGAACACTAGTCCTGAGATTTGCTATGTTTTCTTTAGCTCAATATTTTAAGGATCTAAATGAGAAGTCAGTATTTTCCCAATACTTCATTAAATGCTGTAGCTCTTTATGGTCAGAATGATAATGTGGGTGCTTTTTCAATACATCAGTTACGAAGACCCATACAAAAATCTACCTGGACTGTTGAAAGTCCTTTGGCATGGTGCCACATCAGATCCTGATCTCTGTGGAGAGATATGTGAGATGGATTTGAAGGGCTGCTTTCTGCTCTGCTCCGAGGAGCACATCAAGGAAGTGACCCGGGTCCAGGGCCTGTGACTCAGGCCTGCAGCCCACCTCACCATGCAGAAGGGTTCTTCTCCCGGGGTTTTAGGGGTAGGGGGACTGAAGGAAAAGGAATGAAGCAGACCCAAAGGAGGGACAGGTGGCTGAAATAAGAGAGGGGTCAAAGGAGGGTGATGTGGTCACACTCCATGCTCCACGTGGAGATGTGGAGACAAGGATGAAGGGTTTGGAGAACCCGGAAGGTAGAGCTGAGAGAGAACAGAGGAAGGGTATTGAGGCTGCTTAGCAGCATGAGAAACTCCATCCTTTAGGACTCTGGAGCAGATGATGAGAGAGTGGGGAAGCCCACAGGGGTGTAGGACAAGGTGTGCATGGCATGGAGCTCGGGATCTCTCCCAGCACTTTGGGGTGGCCACTGCCAGGCAGGAACAGATCTGAGTGGTCCCTGCTGAGCATGAGAAGAAGAACACAGATACACAGAGAGAAGCTTTGCTGAGGGCTTTATTGATCATCAGAGGGTGTCATTAATCATCAGGGTCTTCATTGGTCATCAGAGGGCAACATTGGTCATCAGTGAGCTGCAGTGGTCATCAGAGGACGTCAGGAGGCATCAGTGGTGAGGAGAAGCCTTGTCCCTGCAGGGTTTGCCCCCAAGGACTTAGGGCAGGAGGAGAAGGACTGGCAGCACCAACAGGCCCAGGGCAGGATGTGGGTCCCCTTGGGACAGCAGCCGCAGCCCCTGTCCCACCTGCACAGGGACCCTTGGCCATCCATAGGGCACCCTGAGCTTGCTCCTTCCAAATCCCCTCCTCTGCACCGCCCCATAGAGTGCAAGGGAAGGTATGGAGGTGACAGTGCCCAGATCCCCCTGGAACAGGCAGGGACAGTCCCATCCATACCATCCAGTTCCACCCCTGATGCCTGGTCCTCAGAGCTACAGGACACGGGACACCAAAGGTCCCTGAAGTGCCCTGTGGGGTTGCAGGTGTCCCCATGCTGCTCACCTAGACATGCAGGGCCACACGCCTCACACGTGGGGGATTCTCCTCTCCTCTGCTGAGCACGACCTGGGGTGAAAGGAGGTGTTAGGGACACACCGAGGGTACCGGGACAATCGGACACAGTGGGACACACTGAGATACCCTGAAGGTGCAAGGACCCATTGTGGGCACTAAAACCCCATGGCCAAGGCACGGTCCTGTAGGCTGCTCAGCCCCAACTGCCCCCATTGCCTCCTTCCTCTGCCCATTGATCGCCCACAGCAGCAGAGAGCCTAACAAAGGCCTTGGGGCACCAGGGGTGTCTCCAAGTTCCAAGAAAACAGAGAGGACAGCAACACATCCCAGCCCCATCCTCATCCCAGGGTCACCCCTCAACTTACAGGACCAGGAATGTCAACGACGACAGGTGAAGGTTGCTGGGGAAGAAGAGCCAAGGGGCAGCCATGAAGGAACTGTGAGACTGGGTGTCCCCACCCAAGTCCCCTGTTTGTCCCTAGGGCTGCCCCTAATCCCATGGCTGCCAAGGTCTGCGTGCACCTCTGCCCATGGAGGAGCCCAGGATGGGGTTGGACATAGGGACAGGGCAGGAGCTTGGGGGGCCCAAAGTGCGGGAATAGGGGTGCCAGGAGGCTTGGGGGTACCAAAAGGAGAGGAATGGGGACCTCAAAGAGAGGAGAATGAGGGAAAATGAAACAGAGGGGATTGGGGACCTAAGGAGATGATGAGAATCAGGGTGCCAAAGAAAGGAGATTTGTTGGTGCCAAAGAAAGGAGATTTGTTGGTGCCAAAAGGATGGGATATGGGGAGCCAAAGAGCAGGCATTTGGAGCCCCAAAGGGAAGGGATTTGGGGACCCAAAGCAAAGGGGACTAGAGTACAAAGGGAAGGAATTTGGATGTGCCAAGTTGAGGGTTGGCCTCTGCCTTCAGGGACAGACCCCACCAGTCCCTGCAGAGCTCCTTGCAGGGCCACCCTTGGGTGCAATCAGTGTGGCTGCCCAGGCACTCACCACAACAACTTCCGAGTCCGGCACTTGCACAAGTGGCTGTGGGGAGAGGAGTAGGAAAGAGAGTGAGAGAGACCTTGGCATTGGGGACCCCCATGGCCAATCCCCTCCAGCCCCAGCCCACATCCCCCATGGATGCTTCACCTGAGCTTCCACTGTGCAGCACAGGGCAGCGAGGAGCATCACGAGGCTGAGCGCAGCTGCCTTCATCTTCCTCTGTGCTCTGGGAGCTAGGTGAGGCTGCAGGAGGCAAGGGCTGCATTTATCCTCCCAGTGTCCCTCCCACAACCCCCAAATGCCCCTGGGTTTGGCAGGCTCCCTTGGCACAGACCGACCTGGCATGCAGTCATCCCCTGCCCCAGCCCCAGGGCACAGGAGGGAGCCAGGGATCAGAGGAGGAACACTGAGTGCGGGGATACCCATGGCATTGAGCCCAAAGCTCCCAAGTCCCTGCACCCAGGGACACCCCCTCCTTTCTGTCCCCCAGGACCACCCAGACATGAAGGCTGCACCCCATATCAAGGCTTTGTCCAAGGACTCATCCCTGACTTCTCTTGAGTCCCATGAGGCAGCAAGGTGTGGGGCTGATAGTTGGGGGAACTGGGGACACAGCATTTAGGGACACTGGGAAGTGAGAGGGCAACTGGGATGTGGGCAGTGAGGAAATTATGGAGATATTTGGAAAGCAAGGGGCATGGGGATATGGGGGCATAAAGATACAGGAGCATCGTGGGGATATGGAGCATGAAGATACGGGAGCATCATGGGGATATGGGGACATCGTGGGAACATGAAAAGATCATGGCAATCTGGAGACATCATGGAGATATGGGGAAAGGGGGACATGCAGCCAAATGGGAACTGGTTGTTGACAGGGAACTGGAAGTGCATAGATGGGCAGTGGCGACAGGTGGGTGATGGGGACACATAGACACAGGAGGCTGGCAATGTCCACTCAGTGCCTTTGTGATCATGGAGGAGGTCAGGAGTGAATGACAGACCTGGGCTATGGCAGACAGGTTTCCTCTTTATCTACTGCTGCCAAACACAAAGAGCATGACTTTGGGAATCATGGAATCTCAGAGTCGTGGAATACCTGAAGTCACAGACTCATAGAATCAATGAGCCATGGAATCATAGAACCACAGAATCACGGCACCATAGAATTACAGAATCGTGGAATCGTTTAGGAGGGACGAGACCCCTTAGGTCACATCAGGAGATGTGCCATGTATTTACGGCTCCCTTTAAATAGCCAACATCAAAAGTCACCATGTTACATCCAGAAATCCGTATTGCATATGTGACACAGCAGTAGTGCTGCCTCTGTCCATGAGGACAGTTGGTCATTCGGACACACTGGCAGGGAATCCAAGGGTGGGGGTCAAAATTGGCATTCTGTAGTCATCAGCTGTGTGCCTGAGCTTCAGTAGAACAAAGGTGTCCTATGGGTTTTGTTCCTGTCATGATACAGCCTCCTGGATAAAGTGAAGCTTGTTTTATCCAGACGAAAGGAAAGAAATAATAGAGCACTGATTAATGGCAAACAACTCCAGGATTCTTCAAGGAAAGGAGATGTGCCAATATGAAGTGTTCCATCTGACAGAATAGCAGCTGGTCACAGCTTCACGGGGCATTTCTCACAAATAAGAGAGCTGTTGTGGGTTATCTCTGAACAGAGCACTTCAGTGTTTGCTTTGGGAATTGCCCAGAGAGCAGCCAGCTGGAAGAGCTTCCTTTGGACTGATTCTGCTCTGCGCAGTGCTTGTCGGAGCTTATCAGTGCTGCCTTATTCACTGTATTTAAATGCAACGTGGCGTTTTTCCTACTCTGGAGTTCTTTTGGAAAGAACCAATGAATTGTCCGTGCTGCCATCACTGAGGAATATCGACTGAGGTGAGGAACAGGCTGTTCTTGTGATAAACACAAAGCAGGTGGATGGCACTTGATAGCAGCTTCACGATAAAGGTTCTCCTCAGGAAAACCCCTTGGCTGGTCTGATGACATCTCAAAAGAAATACTCAGACTTCTGTAACAATAGAATGCTGAACAAGTAAAATGTGATGAAGTCAGAGTTCTCAGGCTGCGATCTCCCCCTGCAGTGATCTCCCCATCATGGTACCATGGCATCACTTAGGTTAGAAATGAGCTCTCAGGACATCCAGCTGTTAACTCAGCACTGTCAAGACCACCACTAAACACATATCTGTGACCTGTCACCAGATCTGTGCTGTGTCACCCTGCCGGGCCTGAGCCTGTGCTGCTGGGCAGCAGGTGAGGGACTTCCATGGCATGGCACGTCTTTGGTTGGGCTCAATGACCTCAGAGGTCTTCTCCATCCTGGATGATTCCGAGATTCTGGGACATTCACATTCTAGTATGATACTGGGGTTTTAGGTTTCTACTTTTATAGGATTCAATGTTTCTAGGATTCTACATTTCTAGAATGCTAGAATTGTAGGAGTGTAGGAATTTAAGCACATGGGATTCTTGTTCTGTGGGATTCTGGGATTTTACTCTTCTTAGGTAGGATTATAGCTTTCTTAGATTTCTAGATTTCTATGATAACAGGATTCCAGGTTTCTTGGATTAAAGAAGCATGGGATTCTATGTTTCCACGATTTAGGTTTCTTGAATGCTAGGTATCTTAGGTTTCTAGGATTCCATGATGCTGAGATTCTTGGTTTCTTCAGTTTATAGAATTCTAGGTTTCTAGGATTTATAGGATTAGAGGATTCTATGTTCAAGGCTTTTAGGTCTCTAGAGCTGTAAGTTTCTAAGGTTTCTAGGATTCCAGGATTCTGGGTTTATAGGGTTGTGGGATGGGCTCTCATGACGACACACTGATGGAAGGGGGTTAAATTTTACCCACTGCTTAAGGCTCACTGGAGCCTTTTGCAAACCGCAGCAGGAAAATAAGCTCTAAGCTGATTTTACCCATTGCTGAAGGGTCACCGCAGCAAGCTCTAGTCTCCATAGTTAGCCAGCAAGGGTTCATGAAGGGCTCCGGTGAGGCTGCACCTCGAGTACTGTGTCCAGTTTTGGGCCCCTGGTTGCAAGAAAGACATTGAGGCCCTGGGGAGGGTTCAAAGAAGGGCAACAAAGCTGCTGAGCGGTCTGGTGCACAGGCCTTATGAGGAGAGGCTGAAGGTGCTGGGATTGTTCAGTCTGGGGAAGAGGAGGCTCAGGGAAGACTTTATTGCTCTCTGTAAGTACCTGAAGGGAGGTTGCAGTGAGCTGGACTTCAGCCTCTTCTCTTCTGTAACTAGTGACACAACTAGAGGGAACGGCTTCAAGCTGCAGCAGGGAAGATTTAGGCTGGACATTAGGAAACACAACATACATTTGAAAACATCCTATTCAGGAAGCATCATTGGATTCAGTGCATCTCTACTGCTTGTGTTCAAATGGTGGCTCACAGGCATTGCATCCATTTCTGAAGTTTTCAAGCAACACAGACACATAACATGGCTTTCCTGAAGGACCCCTGCTGCATTTGCAGCTGCATGTGAGTGTGCTGGACCCGCTAGGGAACTGGCATGACACTTGGCTGCTTCTGATGTCATTCACGCGTAAGCCCACAGCAAACTAGAGTTTCACCAGCGGAAGAATGAAGATATGTCCATATGTCTGGAATTAGTCACTGTCCATTGGACGTTTGGTGGTTAATTCAGCAGTTTCCAAAGTGCAATCATGACGCTGTTATCTTTCATGAGCTGTTGGCCGTGAAGACATGAGACATGAGACAGGGATCTCAAGGGAGATCAGTGGAGAAGATAGAAATGACATCCTCTGCTGCTGAGCTATGGGCTCCTGGGACACAGGGAGCTCCTACAAGTGGGCAGTGCTGCAGGGAGACAGCTCTGACTAGGAGCAGCTCCCGTGTGCTGTGCATCAGTGCTAGGGGCACGTTCTGCAGGTGGCATAGAGATAGAAGAGAAAGGAGAGAGGGATTACAGGATGTGAGGGATGTGAGCAGACTGCGACTTCACTGCAGGAGCATTGCTTTCAGCCACGGACACGGTAAGTCTCTCACTGTAGGTAATGCAAACACTTTTCCAACAGGGGTCACCAAATCTGGCACATCTGGTTGCAGATCAGGCCGCATACACTCTGTGCTTCTTTATCCTGGAATAAGAGCTGTTCCTGCTGAGGGCTTCCCTGCTGCAGCGTCAGAGCACAGCCCTGACGGCACATCAAGAGAGAACCCTGAAGTGCATTTTACCTCTCTACTTTCCTTTAACATATTTATATTCTTTCAAAAAAAACAAAAAAAAAAACAAAAAAAAAACCCTGGGGGTTCTCTTAGATTCCCTTTTTCAACTGAAAAAAAGAACATGCACTTAGCTAGTGCCCTGCAAACAGGGTGGGTTCTGGACAGCAAATAGGAATTCAGAGAGTTTGGGCTGGTGTCTGTATGCGCAGTCAGGGAAATGAGAGGAAAACAGCCCCCAGGATGAAAATCTGCAGACCACAGGGATATGATCAGGGAAAAAAGATAAAAGACCTTCCTCTGAGCAAGCTCTGACCTAGAAACACATCTGTCCTCATGACCATGGGGTCCGAAGCACGAACCACCTCCTGTGCAGGCAGGGCAGCATCTCCCCAGGCCTGTGTCCATCCCCCTCTGCAGTGCACAGGGGAGCGACTGCCTGGGGCTGTGGGCAACGCAGTTTGTGAGGCCGGGAAGGAGCTGGCTTTCCCTTAATGAGATGCCATCGTTAGGACACATCTCCCTCAGGTGTCCTCCAGAGCTGTGAGCTCAGGATGCAAGCTTTTCCCATAGCCAGGTGGACAAATTCAAGAGAAGAAGTATAGAGATGCAATATGCAAGGAAATTCTGTGGGGTTGATGAAATTAATTTTAGGTGTCATTTGCAAGACGTGTGGTGATGAGGAATTGCTGAAGTACTTTGTGAAATGGTGAATATTTAGTGATGGGCAGTGGATTCCTGTGCTTTCAGCTGGGTCTGCCTTCTTTTCAGATTTTCATGTGAGTGCAGTCACTGTTCATCTGTGAAATAGTCAAGCTCAGAGCAATTGGAAAGAAGCCCATCCAGCTCCCCTTACCCAGCACTAATCAGCAATGAATCCCTTTGTGTCTCAGGTCTTACAGGCATTCACACTGAATGCAGCAGAAATGCTCAGGATTCAGCAAACACTCCTTGGTCAGCAGGATGAGAATTTCTAGGAAAAATCTATCCTGAGAACTGTTTTTAAACCACATATTTTTGGCACTGCTGGTTCATATGCGGACAAGTACTTACGCATTCCAAGAGATTCAATCTCTCACATTCTGAAAACAATACCTGTCCCCACACCTCCGCCTTGTTCCCATGTATCAAGGGTACATGACTGCTTCTTTGAGAAAAAAGCACAGATGCCTGTGAGGCAAACTTAAATACTCCTAAAATGCAGATCACATCATAGAGCTGAATGAACACTCCCCACATAGAAAGACTTGTCCTTCACTTTTGTACTCCACAGACAGGTTCCACGCCCAGGAACTGCAGATGCCCAACAGCAGCTCCATCAGCCAGTTCCTCCTCCTGGCGTTGGCAGACACGCGGCAGCTGCAGCTCCTGCACTTCTGGCTCTTGCTGGGCATCTACCTGGCTGCCCTCCTGGGCAACGGCCTCATCAGCACAGCCGTAGCCTGCCACCACCGCCTGCACACCCCCATGTACTTCTTCCTGCTCAACCTCGCCCTCCTCGACCTGGGCTGCATCTCCACCACTCTCCCCAAAGCCATGGCCAATGCCCTCTGGGACACCAGGCACATCTCCTATGCTGGATGTGTTGCACAGACCTTTCTGTTTGTCTTTCTGATGTCAGCAGAGTATTGCATTCTCACCATCATGTCCTATGACCGCTATGTTGCCATCTGCAAGCCCCTGCACTATGAGACCTTGATGGACAGCAGAGCTTGTGCCACCATGGCAGCAGCTGCCTGGGGCACTGGGCTTCTCCATGCTCTGCTGCACACTGCCAGTACCTTTTCAATACCATTTTGCCAACACAATGCCATTGACCAGTTCTTCTGTGAAGTAGCCCAGATCCTCAAGCTCTCCTGCTCAGAATCAGACTACCTCAGGGAAACTGTGAATGTCTATTTCAGTCTTTGTTTAATCTTTGGTTGTTTTGTTTTCATTGTTGTGTCCTATGTGCAGATCTTCAGGGCCGTGCTGAGGATGCCCTCTGAGCAGGAACGGCACAAAGCCTTCTCCACGTGCCTCCCTCACTTGGCTGTGCTCTCCCTGTTTCTCAGCACTCTCTTATTTGCCTACCTGAAGCCACACTCCCTTTCTTCCCCATCCCTGGACCTGGTGGTGTCATTTCTGTACTCGGTGGTGCCTCCCACAGTGAATCCTTTCATCTATGCTGTGAGGAACCACAAGCTCAGGGATGCCCTGGGGAAACTTTGGGAAATCCCCAGCTATAGCAGAAAATATTAGGACAACATTTTGTTACATGTTGTGTTTGTTATTTCCTAAAACTTGCATTTCCTTTTAAATATAGTTATCCTTATTATGTTATTATAGCTAAGTATGTATTTTGACCCAGTCATCTCATGTACATACAGAACTAGGCTTCCCATGTGCATAAATGCAATGAAGAGGACAGCAGACATTTATTTCTCTCAGCTCACTTTTCTTCCCTTCTCCTCCAGAGCTGGAAGAGAAACCCCCTCACGCAGGAGGGATTCAGGGGCCAAGGGCCCAGCTGCCAAATGGAGCAGCAGCCCAAATTTCCTTGGAGGCTGCCCCCCACTACTCAGTGGGCTTCTGTACCTCACTGCCCTCAAGTCAGGGCAGCTGCTTTCCTGGGGCCACTGTGGGAATACAAGAAAAACTGTTCAGAGTAGAAGCTGTCGAGCAAGATAAACAGCATGAGAACTAAGGACACCTCTAGAAGAAGAAAGAACGTCTGATGGCTCTGATAGGATAAGTGCCTGTGTGAATGGTTGAAAAGTGTTCTGTAGAGTGCTCTGCTGACGTGTAAGGTGGATGGGAAAGTTGTAGGGGTGGATGGGAAAGCTTGGAAAAGAAAACTTGTGAATGTATATAAGTGATGTGAGTACTTGTAATAAACAACATGGATCATTCACATCTGAATCTGTGCTTCAGACTCTGCATACATCATTCTTGGGAGTGATGGAGCAAGTTCCAATAATCTCCCTTGAGCTCACAGATCAGCAGGTAGTTGGGATGTATCTGAGTGAACAAAGAGCAAAGGATAGGGAAATCTGGAGAGCAGTGGGAAGAGTATGTGTCCAGATAAAAAGAGCCTGCTGAAAACATGGCCTGAATCATAGTCATTTATGTAGGAGGGATGGAGACACCTGGAGGATGGGGGACATCAAATACGCAGCAGGGTGGAGCAGCGGTGGATGCTGGGCATCGGTCACAGGGCATTGGCACTGGCACCACTGTCTGTGTCCCTGTACCTGAAGGCATCTGTGTCCTGCAAGCAGAGTTCTGAAAAACACTGTCTTTTTAGAATAAATAAGTAATTAAATAAATAAATCCAAAACATCCCCTGAAATATGAGTGTTTTCAACTTCAAAAGAGAGAGGAGACATGAGAATATTTGAAGTTGAGAAGTGTTAACACATTTTTATCATCTCCCACTTGCAGACATCTTTCTTGTTCAGGGGATCTGAAATGTGGAGGCACTAATCTGCATTATGCCTTCCCTACATCTTATACCCATGGTCTTGTTCAAATAAAAAGATGGAGACTGACTTCTTACAGCATTTCTGAATCATAGGACAAGGATGAATGATAATAAACCAAAAGAGAGATTTTCATTAGATGTTTGGAAGGAATTTCTAACATTCCATAGATCATAACATTCCATGATGTGAGACATGGAGTTGGTATGGAACAAATAGCTCAGGGAAGACAGAGCAGCTCAATCCCTGGAGATGTTTGAGATGTCAAAGGCTCCAGGCATCCTGATCTACTGTGTGACAGCCCTGCACACAGCAAGGGAGATGGAATTGAATGGGCTTTAAGGTCCTTCCTACCAAAACCATTCAAAAGTCCTACAATATTTGTCAGTCTCTTCCAACACAGGATCCTGTTTGCTCAGGTATTCCCTGATCACCTCTTCTTCCACCAACAGTACATCTGCCTTGCACCAACATTTCCCACCTGTCTCTGGCACCCACGATTCCAAGTCGCCCAGAGCAACTAATAAACTGTGAGGTCAGGAAGGTGCAGTTAACAAAATATGGAAGTTAGAGATGTAGTCAACAAAATACGTAAAGCGGGGGCTGTCAAGGTCACCAGGCGTAATAGGATCTGCGGGGGCCCCTTGTGTGCTTAGCAGAATACGTAAAAGGGGGGCTGTGAAAGTCGTCAGGCTCTGCGGGGGCTCCTTGACTCATGAGAAACCATGATGAGACATGGCAAGACAAGACATGCCACATGTCTATTGGGCATAGATAACCGTAGCAAGGGTGATTGGTAGCACTGTGATATAAGGGAGAGCTATAAGAAGAGTGTGTTGCTTGCAATAAGCTGCATTTTGCCGCTCATCATTTTGGTGTGCTGAATAGCAAACGAATGGATCAGGCCTGGCGCGGGACCGACTCGATCGGGTGCTGGGCCTGAGGCTGTCAGGCCACTGCGGGTGGGATGGACCGCAACTTAAGTCGCCGTGAGAAACTGCAACAAGTGGTGCCCCGTGTGAGGAACGGTTGGGTCCGTTCCTGATTACGCTTTGGCGACAGTCAGCTGCGTGGCGGACGCAGGACCCTGCGGCAGTGAGGCTGCGGAAGGCTGGAGGGGTTGATCACCCCTGGAGCAGTTTAAGCCCACAGTGGAAGAGCAGTGGAAGGTCACGGAGGGTTTGATCTCCCTGGGCGACAGTGGAATCCATCATTAAGGTATTAGCCCGTGCATGTAAGACTTACTGCAGAAAAACCGCCCCTTGTAAGAAGGAGGTGGCCACGGTCCTCTTTTCTTGAAAAGAAGGGACTTCTCTCTTCTCCTTATGATATTGATGACTCCGGCAAGTGGGACTCTTTAACATTAGTGCTCTCTCAGAGCCCCTCCTGGGCAACGGCCTCATCAGCACAGCCGTAGCCTGCCACCACCGCCTGCACACCCCCATGTACTTCTTCCTGCTCAACCTCGCCCTCCTCGACCTGGGCTGCATCTCCACCACTCTCCCCAAAGCCATGGCCAATGCCCTCTGGGACACCAGGCACATCTCCTACTCAGCATGTGCTGCACAGGTCTTTTTCTTTTTGTTCCTGTTATCAGCAGAATATTTCCTTCTCACCATCATGTCCTATGATCGCTATGTTGCCATCTGCAAGCCCCTGCACTATGAAACCCTTTTAAGCATTAGAGCTTGTGCCAGCATGGCAGCAGCTGCCTGGGGCACTGGGGCTCTCTATTCTCTGCTGCACACTGCCAACACATTTTCTCAATCACTGTGCCAAGGCAATGCTGTGGATCAGTTCTTCTGTGAAATCCCCCAGATCCTTAAGCTCTCCTGTTGGAAACTGGGCCTTGTTATGGAAATTAGGCTTCTTGTGGCTAGTATAGTTCTTTGTTTTGGGTGTTTTGCTTTCATTCTTTTCTCCTATGTGCAGATCTTCAGGGCCGTGCTGAGGATGCCCTCTGAGCAGGGACGGCACAAAGCCTTCTCCACGTGCCTCCCTCACCTGGCTGTGGTTTCCCTGTTTCTCAGCACTGCCATGGTTGCTTACCTCAAGCCCCACTCCATCTCTTCCCCATCCCTGGATTTGGTGGTGTCATTTCTGTACTCAGTGGTACCTCTGGTAATGAACCCCCTTATCTACAGCATGAGGAATAAGGAGCTGAGGAATTCTCTGTGGAAACTAATGGCCTAATGTGTTGTGAAAACAATGAACTGCCCATCTATTTCTATACGTGACTTGTAATTCAGATTTTGACTTAACCACGCTGTCTTTTTTTTGGTTTATGTATTCATTTGTTAAGTGTTATTTTTTGAATGTTTTGTTTTCTGTTTTATGTATTCTAAACTCTTTCACTGAATCTTCATTATGCCTATCCATTCCTATCCAGCTTGTACCTATGTAGTGTAACCCAGACACACTGTACATGAGGAACCGGGCTCTCTGTGAACCTTATCAAAACAAAGAGCATGCAATGACTTTGTCTGTCTTCTTTCCTGAGAGGCATTTCTGGAGCTGTTGGGTCAGTTGTTCTCACAAACCCACAATCCAGCAGGAAGCACACGGCTGTTAATGCAACTGTGTGGTGACTTCAGCCTGCAATAGCTGATGGGCCATCCCTTGCCTTCTGACTGGGGTCTGTGCATACAGGATCACATCTGCAGTGTCCCTGAGAGGCCGACAGAAAGTGCCAGGTTGACGTGTTGCCTGTGGGATCCTCTGTGCCTGAGCACCTGGTAGGGCCATAGAGCAAGAAGGAGGTTTGTGTGAGGGATTGTGATGGCTCTTCTGTGTGAGTACCAACTGGATAGCAGGAGGGACATGACTTGAAAGTGTCTGTCCATGAAGCTGGCAGGTGCCTTGGAAGATGATGGTGAGGTTCCTTCTTCTCAATGGCACAAGAAAGCTGATGGGTGGCGTTTCCATGAGGAAATGATTTCCAACACGATGGAGTTGGTAGCAGAAATGTGCCAAGGGAGAAAAACGCTCCCTCACAGTGCAGCTTGAAAGCCAGAGACTGGGCATGAGGAGGAAGAAATGTCACTGGAAGTGTTATGATGTGGGACCATGCTGAGGGATCACTCCATGCCTCTGTGTTTCAAGGGCCATTCAGAGAGGCCTAAGAGACATCAGTGAAATGATTGTAGTGCCAGGGTCAGAGCAGGGTGCAGAGGAGAGGTGGGTGTCTGCAGACCACAGGGAAACAGGGGCTGGGCTGGAACAGCATAGGAAAGCCTGCAGAGGAGAAGGCAGTGGGTGCTGGTGACGATGAAGGGCTGCAACATCAGTAAGGTTTTTTGTCCCCTTGCTTATTCTTTGTGAGGAGATTTATTATGCTTATGGTAATGGGGCCTCACTGCTGCCTTGCATCCCTGTGCAGAGGCTGGCAGGTGTCACACTGTTGTCCTTCACATGGAGTGCAATCTGCACCACCACACCAACCCCAGGACGAGCCCTGAGCTCATTCCCTCCAATACGGTGAATCTCCTGTCCAGTGTCTGGATGTCAGGCCTTGGCCCTTCTTCATCCAGCAAACCAAGAGATTTCTCAGCACAATACCTTATGTAAATGTAATCATTGCCTCCAATTACCGGCTCGAACAAGTCCAAGGGAGGCTGTGTTGGTAATGTCCCTTATTGGCCACAGTACTCCAAGATACTTCAACTTGTCAATCCAATTAACTTTCTCCTCTCAGTACCTGAGGTTCATAGACCCAGCATCAAATGTACCATGGGTCTCTCTGTAGTACAGAAATTTGCAATGAGCCATATCTGTTCCATAATGTCCTTGAAGTTGGAGAGGTTTCATAATGTAGTAAAGGAAGGAGATTTCAAATGGATGTTGATCCAGAGAGTCTCCTAAGGAAATCTGCATAGGCAGAAGCAATTGCTTGAGGTCTCACACAGTACAGACAACCTGACTGCTCACCTCCCCAGGCCTGACGTGTCTGCTGTATGCACCTGGCACTTGCATCACTTTTCCCTACACCAGAATTCTCCACTGCAGTCTGCAGCTGGATGGTACAGTTCCTTTACACCATTCCTTTACCTGCTTCCCTAAGAGAACTGTCTGCACACAGGCACAGGTTGTTGCTTCCTACTTTAAAACAAACAACAGTAAAGGATGACACAATTTCCCCAACAACAGAACACACTCCTCAGCCATATCTCACCAGTATGGTTCGCCTTCCCAAAAGAATAAGTACTTTACATAAGTAGATAGGAAATGATAAATATTAATAGAAAACAGATACTAACTGAAGGATAAATGATAAGGAGCAAACTCCACTGTGTGATCACAAGCATCCCATGCCATCTCCAGAGGTCCCAGATGTCCTGTCTTGGACAGGCAGCTTTCCGAGAGGACCTGCAGGAGAGCAGAGCCCTCTGGAAGCTGCAGATAGAATTTGGAATGAGGATCTCAGGGCAGTACACTGCCTATAGTTGTCTTCGTCCCTGCAGTTGCAGCTCAACCCAGCACACTCAATGCTCCCCAGGCAAGTCAGTGGATCCCTGGGGGTGACCCAGTGCTGTGATGGCCACTGGCAAGCCAAGAAACTCTGATTTCTTCTCAATGAACACAAACATCCATGAACCATTTTGGGTCATCAGTGTCAAACTCAGCCTGAAAGACTCAAGTACAGGTGATGAAACCCATCACATTGGCAAAATGTCCCACCAGACTATGGAAGTTAAAAAGGAGCAGTGTGAAATGACCATCAGGTCAGTCCTCAGAGGAAGGGTATGTAAAATTTATCGACTACAGAGGTGGAGAGCAAAAAGCACTCGATTGTGACTCAAATAACTAAAGTGTGTCCGTGCTGGCCTGACAGCAGCTCCCTGTTCCCTCCTGCTTCCCTCCCCGTGCTCCCTGCAGGACCTGAGCTGGTGGAGCTGCTCTGCAGGGCGAGGGAGCTGTGGTGCCCTGGGACACCGGGCTGACCCTGTGCTGCTCAGGGTGAGAGGCAGTCCCAGCTGGATGGGATCTCTACTGCTGAGTCCCTCTCCATCTGCCCTGCTGGCTCAGCAGCACCACTGCAGAGCCCTCCTTTGCCTGTGGGCTCCTCAGGTTCCCCTGTTTCTTTGGATCAATGGTCTGTCATTGCGCAAGGAATTATTCTTTGCCTTACACTTACACTGTCTCTTACACTGTCCCCGGAGATCCCCTGGCGTTTCCAGGCTGCTCCAGATTCCTCTCCAGGACAGTGTCTGCCATCAGTCCCACAGCAGCAGGGACAGTCCCGCACAGTCATGTTCAAGACCAGTTATGTTTTGGTGGGCCATGTACAACCAAGAAGGGAGCTCTCGTCTGTCCTTTGGTCCTCACTGATCACCCTGGGACTCTGAACCATGCAGAACCCCCGGAAAGCAAGAGGACTTTCCCGAGGGCAACTCCTTGGCTGTATTCCTGGCACAGATTTGGAAGGGGTGTTCAGTCCTCTGGCCTTGCCCTGAGCAGCCCCTTCTTGTTCTGGTCTCAGCAGGGAGGCCAGCTGAGGAGCAGTGCTGCACACTGCCTGCCTGCCTGCAGCCACAGGGATGCCGCCACAGAGACAACAGCGCCACAGAGCAACAGCGCTGTCATCAATTGCACCAGAACTGAGAGCTGACACAAATGCAAGGACACAAGAGAACAGTTGGGAACATAACGAGTGCAGCACTGAAAAGACCACGTCCTGTTGCTGCCCAAGGCCGTGGCTCCAGGGAAGCCTCAGCATAACTCAAAGGCAGCAGAAAGTCCCTCTAGTCAGTGACGGACATCCCTCAGGGGACACTGCTGCTCCTTGTGCCATTTGTGTCTTAGATCATGAGCTTCTGCTGATGATCCAGACTAGATGGGAGGCAAAACAAATGATCCTCTGCTGATTTCTTTATCTATTCATTGAACCTGGTTCCTTAAGTACAATAGGTTCAAGACAGGGAATTAAAAATAGGTAAACATAAAGACTGATGATGAATATTATTTAATCGGAATTAAGTTCATTATAGCTATGACAAAAAAATACGAAGAAAAAATGGAAACATCACATAAAATAAATCACACTTTTCCTAACTTTTTTGCAGTCTTGAGGGTATGATGAACATCGTTTTGATGGGCAAACAATGCATAATAGAGTACTTTCCTGAGGGCACCCTTGAGCTCCTGATTCCTCATGCTGTAGATGAGGGGGTTCAGTGTTGGAGGCACCATCGAGTACAGCAACGCTGTGCGGGACAATCCACGCCCCGTGGGGGGTGGCTGCAGCAGCAGGCAGAATCGGGCAGTAGGTGAGTCCCGCCCCCACTGTCGCATTCCACAGGTCGTATCACAGCTCCCCCAGACATCTCTCCTTCCTCAAGGACCCTCTTATCAACTGTGCTAGAAGTTGTACTGCTTTCCTCCACCGGCCCCCCTTCCCCGTTATCTTTACAGGGCTTAAGTGAAGGATATATGCTGCGAGCCGGGTAAGGAGGTGGGTCCTCCTCTTTATGGTATGACCGCTCCTGCTTCACTTCGTTCTTCTTTATCTCCAGGGTTGTTGTTTCTGGTGGGGCCGAAGGAGTCAGCGCCATCTTGCCCTCCGGCGAATCTGTAGGGGAGACAAGACCCCCCCCGGCCCTAACCCCAGCAGCTCCTTAGCACGGTCACCTGCGATCTTCTCCTCCTTTGCTTTCTTAAGAGCTATTAAAATCAATCCCCACACCTTAAACTCTGCTGCTTTCTGAGTAAGCATTGCCCTCTGTGAGAGCGCGGCAGTAAACGAATCCCATTTATCAGAATCATATAAGTCAGAAGGGGATGATAATAGCCCCTCTTTCTCCAGCAACGAAAGTGTCGCCGAAATCTCCTTCTTAGAAGGAACATTTTTCCCGCAATAAATTTTGCATGCATGTAAAATCACCTTTATAACGGCTTCCATAACGCCTCCGGCCGAGCGTACACCTGGCCTCTTCTGGCGTCTTTCCCCTAGCGTCCTAGGGGGATCTTGGCTCCTTTTCCCGAGCCTCCCGCCTGACGAGGAGTAATGGCCACCTCCTCCCCGTCCCCGGGCTTCCATTATTCCGCAGATTTGAATTTACCGCTACTGCAGTGGGTTCCTGCTTCTGGCAGACAGCTGACTCACTCCCAGGGATCACGTCGGTCGGGGTCACCACTTGTTACAGTACGCGTCCGTTCCGCTTCCCCAGGAGACCGCAGCTTGGCCAATTACCGAGGTGACACCAATATGATGAGCAGTAAAATGGCGTTTATTACACGTATTAACTACCTTATATAGCCTAATTACTTCGTCTACGCCCCTAGGGGCCTACATCACACATCAATCATTAGAGCAGGGAGGGAGCTTAGCACATCAGACCCCGTGGGGGGGTCTCGCAATTTCGCAGTTGCTGACAACACTTATTCTTTGTGAGGAGATTTATTATGCTTATGGTAATGGGGCCTCACTGCTGCCTTGCATCCCTGTGCAGAGGCTGGCAGGTGTCACATTGTTGTCCTTCACATGGAGTGCAATCTGCACCACCACACCAACCCCAGGACGAGCCCTGAGCTCATTCCCTCCGATACGGTGAATCTCCTGTCCAGTGTCTGGATGTCAGGCCTTGGCCCTTCTCCTTCATCAAGCAAACCAAGAGATTTCTCAGCACAATACCTTATGTAAATGTAATCATTGCCTCCAATTACCGGCTCGAACAAGTCCAAGGGAGGCTGTGTTGGTAATGTCCCTTATTGGCCACAGTACTCCAAGATACTTCAACTTGTCAATCCAATTAACTTTCTCCTCTCAGTACCTGAGGTTCATAGACCCAGCATCAAATGTACCATGGGTCTCTCTGTAGTACAGAAATTTGCAATGAGCCATATCTGTTCCATAATGTCCTTGAAGTTGGAGAGCTTTCATAATGTAGTAAAGGAAGGAGATTTCAAATGGATGTTGATCCAGAGAGTCTCCTAAGGAAATCTGCATAGGCAGAAGCAATTGCTTGAGGTCTCACACAGTACAGGCAACCTGACTGCTCACCTCCCCAGGCCTGACGTGTCTGCTGTATGCACCTGGCACTTGCATCACTTTTCCCTACACCAGAATTCTCCACTGGAGTCTGCAGCTGGATGGTACAGTTCCTTTACACCATTCCTTTACCTGCTTCCCTAAGAGAACTGTCTGCACACAGGCACAGGTTGTTGCTTCCTACTTTAAAACAAACAACAGTAAAGGATGACACAATTTCCCCAACAACAGAACACACTCCTCAGTCATATCTCACCAGTATGGTTCACCTTCCCAAAAGAATAAGTACTTTCCATAAGTAGGTAGGAAATGATAAATATTAATAGAAAACAGATACTAACTGAAGGATAAATGATAAGGAGCAAACTCCACTGTGTGATCCCAAGCATCCCATGCTATCTCCAGAGGTCCCAGATGTCCTGTCTTGGACAGGCAGTTTTCCGAGAGGACCTGCTGATGATCCAGACTAGATGGGAGGCAAAACAAATGATCCTCTGCTGATTTCTTTATCTATTCATTGAACCTGGTTCCTTAAGTACAATAGGTTCAAGACAGGGAATTAAAAATAGGTAAACATAAAGACTGATGATGAATATTATTTAATCGGAATTAAGTTCATTATAGCTATGACAAAAAAATACGAAGAAAAAATGGAAACATCACATAAAATAAATCACACTTTTCCTAACTTTTTTGCAGTCTTGAGGGTATGATGAACATCGTTTTGATGGGCAAACAATGCATAATAGAGTACTTTCCTGAGGGCACCCTTGAGCTCCTGATTCCTCATGCTGTAGATGAGGGGGTTCAGTGTTGGAGGCACCACCGAGTACAGAAATGACACCATCAGGTCCAGGGATGGGGAAGAGATGGAGGGGGGCTTCAGATAGGCAAACATCGAAGTGGTGACAAAGAGGGAGACCACAGCCAAGTGAGGGAGGCTCGTGGAGAAGGCTTTGTGCTGTCCCTGCTCAGAGGGCATCCTCAGCACGGCCCTGAAGATCTGCACATAGGACAGCACAATGAATACAAAGCACCCAAATAAGACAAGAACACTAGCCATTATAAGTCCAAATTCCCTAAGGTAGAATTCTGAGCAAGTGAGCTTGAGGATCTGGGGGATTTCACAGAAGAACTGATCCACAGCATTGCCATGGCAGAGAGGCAGTGAAAATGTACTGACAGTGTGCAGCAGGGAATAGAGAAGCCCAGTGCCCCAGGCAGCTGCTGCCATGCTGGCACAAGCTCTGCTGTCCATCAAGGTCCCGTAGTGCAGGGGCTTGCAGATGGCAACGTAGCGGTCATAGCACATGATGATGAGGATGGAATACTCTACACAAAAGAAGAAAAGTAAAAAGAAAACCTGTGCAGCACATCCAGCATAGGAGATGTGCCTGGTGTCCCAGAGGGCATTGGCCATGGCTTTGGGGAGAGTGGTGGAGATGCAGCCCAGGTCGAGGAGGGCGAGGTTGAGCAGGAAGAAGTACATGGGGGTGTGCAGGCGGTGGTGGCAGGCTACGGCTGTGCTGATGAGGCCGTTGCCCAGGAGGGCAGCCAGGTAGATGCCCAGCAAGAGCCAGAAGTGCAGGAGCTGCAGCTGCCGCGTGTCTGCCAACGCCAGGAGGAGGAACTCGCTGATGGAGCTGCTGTTGGGCATCTGCAGTTCCTGCTGGGCCTGGAGTCCTGTGCAGAGTGCAGGAGATAATGACAGAAGTCAAGAGAACTTGCAGAGAACCTCCTCCTGCTGTACTTTGAATTTTTTTGTTTCCTGTTTAAAATGTTCATTTAACTCCATAACGGGAGTTTATTTTCATGAGCTTCACAATTCCTTAAGGATTTGCAGTATATGTAGCTCTTACTTTGCTCTCTTTTTCCAAATCATATCCCAGGCTGCTAGATATTTTCCTCACAGGAGCTGTTTCCAGAAATCTTATCTTTACCCTGTCTGCACTCAGAGACCTCACCCCTAATCTGTGCACTTAAATTTCTGCTGGAGAAAGCTGCCTGGTTGCAGGAAAAGTGCATTACTCATGTCTGCAAAAAATGATGATAATTTCAGCTGGTGCTCTCCTTTGGGAGCAAAGAGGCTGAAAGCATTTAAGGAGATTGCACACATAACAGCAGATAGAGAAATTCAATTCAGGATTCTCTGAGATGTGTTCTTATTTCAAAGATCCTTTATGCCTCCAACTTTTCCACTTTCCCTACAAAAAAGAAAAGGAAAATTCCTGCCTTGTCACTCCTCTCGCAAAGTGCACCTGGAAACACTCTGGCATGCAGTGAATCAGTGCTCCAGCCCTCAGCTGGAGCAGGTTTTTATCCAAAATAAAGAAACATGGAGTGCCTTCAGACTGACCTGCAATGGGCTGTCGCAGATTTAGTAATTCCTGTATTAAAGCCACTACGCTGTCTGCGATGAGAGACTTACCTGGTCAAGGGCTGTGACAAATGCTCCTCCAGTGAGTTCACAGCCTAACGTGCCACACAGCCTGTCAGCTCTCCTCCTTATTTCCTCTACATGTCTCTTGCAGACCATGCCCAGAGTCTTGCTGTGTGCTGCACAGGAGCTGCTCCTTTGCACTGCTGTGTCCCTGCAGCACTGCCCACTTGTAGGAGCTCGCTGTGTCCCTGGAGCCTGGCCCAGCTCAGCAGCAGATGATGTCATTTCTATTCCACCCACTGATCTCCCCTGACACGTCCCTGGGTCTCCATGGCCAACAGCTCCTGAAAGACTTCAGTGTCGTTATAGTACTTCTACATCTGCTGAATTAACCACCAAACGTCCAGTGGACAATGACTGATTCCAGACATATGGTTAGTCCTACCAGAGAGTGTTTGCTGAAACAAAAAGGGCACACAGACAAGGACAGTGGAATTTCCTTGAGGCAGTGAGGCATCTCATCCCTAGATGGAAATCCAAAGTTTGAAATGGGATTCAGCACCCCATGGACACAAAGGAATTTCAGGGATTCCTCTGGTTCAGTTCAGGTGAGCACAAGGAGTTGCCTGCATGTGAGCTCCTGCTCTGAGTCCTTGGTCCTTCAGCGGGGAGTCAGTTGCTCACACACAGACCCTGGGTGATGACCTGGGGTGCTGCTGGATGTGTGCCAGTGCTTGTGCAGTATGTGGGACATCCCTGAGAGAGACACCTCCTTCCTGAGCATCAGCTGAGGGCCAGAGAGGGGATAGAGCTATCTCAGCCATCCTAAATGACAACAGACTCCTGAATTTAGGGCACCCAAGTTTACCTTCTTTACCCGTCCCTATGGTGCGTGTGGAGTTATGCAGCTGACTAAATGGCTGAGCTCACAAAAGAAGAGCCAGATCTTTCTCTGTTCACCATCTACTCAATATTTTGGAGCTTCAGGCACTGTAGAGCTGGCACACATCTTCATATTTCAACTGATGAAATCTCAGTGTTCTATGGGCACACACGTGAATGGCATCAGAAGCAGCCGAGTGCCATGCCAGTTCCCTAGGTGCTCCAGCACACACAGATGCTGCTGGCAAATGCAGCACAGGGCCTTCAGGAAAGCCATGCCCTAGGAGTGTCCGTGCTGCTGGGACAACTCCGAGCCTCACAGTGGGTCTAATGCCTGTGTGCCACCTTCTGAACACAAATACCGTAGATGTGTTATGCAGCCATGCTAGGAACAATGGTGCTTGTTTCTTTATGTGCTTTTACAGTAATGAGAACACCAACACATGCAGAGCTAGAAATCTTTGTTCAATTGCAGGCCTGAGCTCTTGTTTGGACCCCGGGGACATGGTTAAAGGGCTTCCCCAACTGGACTGCAGCACAAGAGGGATACAGAATCTTTGTGATGGATGAGTGAGGAGACAAGGAAAGGTGACTGTGCTCTGGGAGAGTGCACTGAACTTCTCCTGGGGATGGCAGAGCAGCCAGGTAAGAGCAAATGGTAATGGCAATCAAAGGAGACCAGCAGTGTCTGTTCCTGGCTTCCTGATCAGAAAGAGCAAGTGGAAGGTGCCATCTACAGACAGATGGGAGCCTCATCTTGTCTGGCCATTTGGAGTCCTTTTTCACTGCAGTGTCTGCTGCAGGGACAGCACAGCAGGGCATGCACCATGCAGGAGATCCCTGGAGAGCACAGATGGCAGCTCTTTGAGCAAGCCATAGAGGAATCCAAGAGGAGAGGTGCTCTGCTGGATCTCAAACTCACTGGCAAGGAAGGGCTGGTGGGGAATGTGAATGTGAAGACCAAAGTGAACCTGTGCTGCAGTGGCCATGGGATGGTGGAGCTGAGGAGTCTGAAGAGAGGGTAAAAGACAAGCTCACAACCCTGGGCTTCAGAAGAGCACACCTTTGGCTTCTTCAGTTATCTGCAGTACAGCAGGGAAAGGCTTTGAGGGGAATGGGGTCAAAACATGTGGTTACAATATAGGGATCATGGCTTGAAAGTAGAATGAGTCCTTTCCAAGGAAAAGGAAGCCAAATATAAATGTCAGAATTCCTGCATGACTGGGAATGGATTGCATTGCTCTCACCCAAACACAGAAAGGAAGCGTGCAGGAAGTGGAAACAAGAAGAGGTCACCTGGCAGCAATGCAGAGACTTTGTCCAGTGTTCCTGCTGAGATGAGTTCAGGAACATCAGAGTTCAACCGCAATTGAATGAGCCCAGGCATATCACAGGCAAGGAGGGCTTGAAGAAATACAATGTAGTCTACAAAAGGAAGGCTAGGGAGAATGTGGGCCCAACATAGAATGGGGCAGGAACCTGGTGAGACAGGACATGGAAAAGTCTCTGATACTCATTTCCTTCCACACAGTTTATTAGTTGGTCTGGGCTTCTTGGAATCCTGGGTGCCAGAGACAGGTGGGAAATGTTGGTGCAAGGCAGATGTACTGTTGGTGGAAGAAGAGGTGATCAGGGAATAGCTGAGCAAACAGGATCCTGTGTTGGAAGAGACTGACAAGTATTGTAGGATTTTTGAATGGTTTGGGTTGGAAGGACCTTAAAGCCCATCCAGTTCCATCTCCCTTGCTGTGTGCAGGGCTGTCACACAGTAGATCAGGATGCCTGGGGCCCTTGACATCTCAAACATCTCCAGGGGTGGTGCAGCCCCATCTTCTCTGGGCTGCCTGTTCCATACCAGCTCCATGCCTCACATCCTGATCTAGGGCATGTTAGAAATTCCTTCCAAACATCTAATGAAAATCTCTCTTTTGGTTTATTGTGTTTCATCCTTGTCCTATTATTCAGAAATGATGTAAGAAGTCAGTCTCCATCTTTTTTATTGGAACAAGGCATTGGCTAGAAGACGTAGGGAAGGCATAATGCAGAGTAGTGCCTCCACATTTCAGATCCCCAGAACATTGAAGAAGTCTGCAAGTGAGAGTTGATAAAAATGTATTAACACTTCTCAACTTCAAATATTCTCATGTGTCATCTCTCTTCTTAATATGAAAATGCTCATATTACAGGGGATATTGTGTCTGTTATTTTATTTTATTATTTTTATTTATATTTATATTTTTTTAATTATTTATTCTTCCTAAAAGGACAATGTTTTCAAAAACTGTGTTTTCAGGACACAGATGCCTTCAGGTACGTGGACACAGGCAGCAGTGCCCTGTGACCAATGCCCTGTGACCAATGCCCTGCGTCCACCGCTGCTCCACCCTGTTGCTTTTTAATGGCCCTCATCCTCCAGGTGTCTCCAGCTCTCCTAAATCAATGACCGTGGTTCAGGCCATGTTTTCAGCAGCCCATCTGGACACATGCTCTTCCCACTGCTCTCTAGATTTCCCCATCCCTTGCTCGTTGTTCACTCAGATTCCTCCCTCCCAACTTTCTGCCTGATCTCTGATCTCCGGGGAGATTATTGGAACTTGCTCCATCTCTCCAAAGTTGGATGGACTCTTTTCTCAACTCCTTAGCTGTCATTATATCTATCCCTTCCCATCTCTGCCTAACTCATTTCTTGTACAACTATTCCCTGTGAAAGACAAACCTCATTACATGCAGTTTGGACAAAGAATGAAGTTGGTCACTGTGTTTTACTTTTCATTCAATTGCATCTCATTTCCTTCCGTCTCTGGGAAAAAATAAAATAAATAAAAAACCAAAAAACTGGCAGAAATAAATCTTTCTTTACCCATGTGCAGCTGGTTCTCTGAGGAATGCCAGGGGGAATTATTTCAAAGGAGGTTTAACACTGAGTGGGTGACTGCAGAGGAGAAGAATGATGTGAGGAAAAGTGATGCAAGTGCCATGAGGCCAATGTAAGTAGAAATGGGGTGGAGAAGTTGAGGAGCAATTTTGTCCACACAGTGACAGAGAAAAGTTCATTAGGGAACATCCTGGATCAATATCCATTGTCAAGTGCTGATTAAAATTCTTGTTTAAACTATAAACTACAAATAACTAGACTTCTTAAATGCCCATCATTCTCTTCCTCTATAAGCTCTCTCCTGATACCTCTTGAGTTTGCTGTACAAGGTCTGAACACCTGAAGAAGATGACAGGAAGGCACAAGGCACAGCACGGCTCTTCAGGTTGTAATGGGCCCCAGGGGGCATTTGCTGCTGAGTCCATCAACCTCTGGTGCACAGAGAAGATTGCATGAAGTGCTCAAGGAGACCAAGTCAGAAGGAACAGTGAAGTTTCTTGGAATATTAATGGGCCCCAATGAGGGCCGTTATCAAGCAAGCTTCCCCAGGGACTTGTTAGAGCAGAGAATTAGAAGCCATGATTGCAGGCAGACCAAGGCACTGGGATGGTGGCTGTGATGCTGAGAAAAGCCTCCTTTGTCTTATGGAGCAGAAAGACCAAGCCCTGATCCCCAGAGCCTTGGCAGGGAGATCTTCTCTGTCCTGCTGGCTCAGGGCCCTTCCTGGGGCAGTGGGATGGAGGTTTGTGTGTTGTCAAATGAAAAAGAAGGGGACAGCAGCTCCCAGACTCTGCATGGGGTGCAAGGATGCTGTGAGGCCCAAGTCCCATGTGGGCAGTGTGTCTCATCCCAGGATGTGGGATGTGAGAAGGGCCCAGTGAACAAGCAGTCGATCCCAATGAAACTTGGAACTTCAGATCTCTCAGTTCTAGAGCCCTCCTTTGGAAAGTCTCCAATAGTTTTACATCCTTTATGTTCTGTGGCACCCAGAAGTGAATCCAGTGATCCAAGTGAGGCCCCAGAAGTGCAGAGCAGAGTGGGACAATCCCTTCCCTCACCCACCTGGCAAGGCCATGTTCAGTGCATCCAGGGGATGGTTGGCCTTTCTGGCTGCCTGGGCACACTGCTGTGCCACTTTGAATTTCATGTTCACCAGGACCTCCAATCCCTTGCAGTGGGACTGCTCTCCAGTGTCTCATTCACAGATCAGTGTGAATGTCCAGGGTTGCCCTTACCCAGGTGCAGAGTCAGGCACTTGTTCTTGTTATACTTCATGTGGTTGGTGCCTACTCAGTTCTTTAACTCGGGTACATCTCTCTGAAAATCTTCTCTACCCTCCGTTGAGGAAACAGCTCTACCCAATTTGGTATCAATAGCAAATGAACTCAAACCATTTTCCAGCCCTGCATGCAAGTCATTGGTGAAAACGTTATAGAGAAGAGGCCCTCAAATGGAGCCCTGAGGAACCCTGCTAGTGAAAATCCACCAGCCTGACGGAACCCCATTTAATGTAACCCTTTAGGCCGACCCATTGGCCAACGGCTCACCCATCACATTATGTTTCTGTATAATCAATGGATATCAAGATGTTACTATTGTATAACCAATGGATATCAAGATGTCATAATATAATCAAGAGAGCTAGGCAATGGACAATGAAAACAAAAGAGAACAAAATGGGAGGCTTACCCTTCAGCTGGGCTCACCACAAAACACCAGAAGAGGCAACCTCCAGAAGAGATCCTTCCCCACTGGTAGCCAGCTCTTAAATAGGTCTAGGAGGTCTAGGAGGCCTGGCTTCACCCCTTGGGCAGCACAGCTGAATTGCCTTCGCCTGTGCTTCTCTGGCTGACTCATGGCTCTCCTCAGGTGATCAATCAGAGGTTCAGGCCGTGACTCAGTAGTTCCCATACAGTTTCTGTCTAGCCCTGTGCAGAAAAATTTGTCCAGAAGAATTATCTAAGAAAGCCTTTCAAAAACTCCACTGAAATCCTAAAGGACATCCTCAGCTGGCTTCCCTTGGTCAACTAGAGGAGTGATCTTGTCATAAACGGACATTAAGTTTAATAAGACCTTCCCCTCATGAACTTGTGTTGGCTGTGACCAATGACAGAATTGTCCTTCAGGTGTTTCTCAGTAACTCCCAACATCATTTTTTTCCATAATTACACCAGGTACTGAAGTAAGACTGACAGCTCTGTAATTGCCTATGTCCTCTTTCTTGCTCTTGTTTGAAACTGGAACAATGTTTGCCAGCTTCCTGTCAACTGGGACCTGGCATGACTGTCTGTCTCACAGATTTTCCACCACAGTTTATGCGCACCAGCACACAGCTGGGATCACCCCAGGCACCTTGGGCATCACTGAGTGTCTGTGTGTGAGCAGTGCAGTCCTGTTGAAGAAAGACCAAGGATTCAGATGAGGGCCTCACATACCGACACCTCATTGTGCACATCTGAACTCAGCTAAGAGGACTCCTGGCTCCCATGGTTCTGTGAGGAACTGATCCCATTTCAGCCCCGGGGTTTCCACCAGCAGATGGGATGCCTAACCCTGGAGTTAGGGTGAGATGGCCTGATAGAAAAAAAGTGAAATGGCTTTAAATTAAAAAGCACAGATTGAGTTTAGATGTTAAAAAGTGATTTCTTAGACACTGGCACTGGCAAATGTTGCCTAGAGGTTGCGGATGATCCATCCTTGGAAGCATTCAAGGTCAGAATGGATGGGATGCTGGGCAGCCTGATCTGCTGGTTGGCAGCCTTTCCTATGTCTGGGGGATTAGAACCAGGTGATCTTCCAAGTCCCCTCCAACCTAAGACTTTCTGTAATGTTAGGACTGCACTTACAGGTGGTTTCCAAGATTTGCCCTTTGTTTCTTTCTAAATGGTCAAATTTATTTTAGTAGGAACAACCGTGCTTGTGGAATCCAGTGGATGTGCTGATTAATTGAGCTGACTTTGCAGTACATTCTGCAGTGATGACCCTGCTGCCTTGCAGGAGCTGTCAGTTCAGGATAGCCATAGGTATATCCAGGGAGAGTAGGAATTCAGATCATTTGCTGCTGAACTGGGCTGGGCTCCTGGGACACAGGAGCTTCTACAAGTAAGCAGCGCAGCAGAGAGACAGCTGTGCAAAGGAGCAGCTCCTGTGCACCACGCAGACTGGCTGTGGGCATGAACTACAGGAGACAAAGAGAAGAAGAAAGAGTTTAAAGGCTGCATTGCATGCTAGCAGGCTGTGAGCTCATGCAGGGAGCATTGTTCAAAGCCCTTGACAAGGTAAGTTTCTCAATGCAGGCTTTTACTGGAGGAACCACTAAATTTGAGATATCTCACTGCAAAATGGGATGCATATACTTTGTTTCTTTATCATGAAAAAGACCTGCTCCAGCTGAGGGCTTCTGTGCTGAAGTATCAGAGCACAGCCCTGAGGGCTGCATGTCCCAGGACGGCTGCAGGCTGTGCAGCCATGGCTGCAGCCGGGTGCCAGGGCTGTCCTGCAGAGCAGGTCCTGCTGTGCCCCAGGGGCTGTGTGCCGGGGCAGGGACTGTGCTGCCTGCCAGGCTCAGCACTCAGCCTGCCTGGGGAGCTGCTCAGGGCGCTGCGGGGAGACGTGTGGAAAGGAGCCCCCCGGCAGGGCAGGGCAGGGCAGGGCAGGGCAGGGCAGGGCAGGGCAGGGGCCTTCTGCTGCCACAGCTGCTGCCTGGGGATGCGGGATAACAGCTACATTGCACCACAAGGTGTTTCCAAGGTTGCTTACCAAGAGGAGAGCCAAGGCAGAATTTTTTCATTTCTTCTTCTTATCAATGGGGAAAGAGTTGGAGGCTGAAACGTAACAGGAGCTGGGAAATATGAAATATCTATGAGAATCCCAAGTTGTGTACCCTTCATTCTGTTGTTAAGAGTGCAAACTCCTTATTTGCTTTCAGCCTCTCCTCTCCCAAAGGACAACTCCAACTGAAATTATTGTCCTTTTCTGCAGACAGGAACACACATGCTGCAAAATGCCAGCTTTCTGTAACTTAAATTTAAGTACACAGAGTTTGGGATCACTGTTCTGAGTGCAGAGAAGATAAAGATACAAGATAAGAGAATTGCTCTGAAGAGCAAAATATGCAGGAAGCTTGGTAGTGATTAAGAAATGAGAGCAAAGTAAGATATACATAAGCTTCTACTTACAGAATAATGATGAATCTCATGAAATTAAACACAAACTATGGAGTCACATGGACATTTACCTAAGAGGAAGGAAAGCATTTATCCTATGTTGGGAGGAGTGTCCCTGAGAATGGCCTTGACTTGTCATTATCTTCTGCACTCTGCACAGGACTCCATGCCCAGGAACTGCAGATGCCCAACAGCAGCTCCATCAGCCAGTTCCTCCTCCTGGCGTTGGCAGACACGCGGCAGCTGCAGCTCCTGCACTTCTGGCTCTTGCTGGGCATCTACCTGGCTGCCCTCCTGGGCAACGGCCTCATCAGCACAGCCGTAGCCTGCCACCACCGCCTGCACACCCCCATGTACTTCTTCCTGCTCAACCTCGCCCTCCTCGACCTGGGCTGCATCTCCACCACTCTCCCCAAAGCCATGGCCAATGCCCTCTGGGACACCAGGCACATCTCCTACGCAGGATGTGTTGCACAAGGCTTTTTCTTTCTCTTTTTCATATCAGCAGAGTATTGCATTCTCACCATCATGTCCTATGACCGCTACGTTGCCATCTGCAAGCCCCTGCACTACGGGACCTTGATGGACAGCAGAGCTTGTGCCAGCATGGCAGCAGCTGCCTGGGGCACTGGGTTTCTTTATGCTCTGCTGCACACTGCCACTGCATTTTCAATACCATTCTGCCAAGGCAATGTTGTGGACCAGTTCTTCTGTGAAATCGCCCATATCCTCAAGCTCTCCTGCTCAGAATCAGACTACCTGAGGGAAACTGTGAATATCTATTTAAGTCTTTGTTTAATCTTTGGGTGCTTTGTATTCATTGTTGTGACCTATCTTCAGATCTTCAGGGCCGTGCTGAGGATGCCCTCTAAGCAGGGACGGCACAAAGCCTTCTCCACGTGCCTTCCTCACCTGGCCGTTGTCTCCCTCTTTGTCAGTACTGCCATGGTTGCCTATCTGAAGCTCCCCTCAGTCTCCTCCTCTTTCCTGGACCTGGTGGTGTCATTTCTGTACTTGGTGGTGCCTCCAGCAGTGAACCCCTTCTTCTATGGCATGAGGAACCAGGAGATCAAGACTGCAGTGAGCAATACATACTTCTCCAGCATCCAGAAGATGCATGCCAGCCTAAGATGAGTCTCACAGTAATTCAGAAATTGTTAGAACAATCTCTTGTTTCTATTTTTCTTATTATTATTATTTTCACAGACATGACTTCAATTTAAATCCGTTATTCTTGGCATGCTTCATTTTTGTAGTGTTTTGACACTCTCATCTCATGTACCCATAGAACAAGGAGCTCTGTTGATAAGTACAATAAGGAAGCCAGCAGAAATTCAGTTGTCTGTGCTCCCATGTTTTACCACCTCTGAAACTGGAGGAGTGACTCATGTAGGCAGGAGTGGTGCAGGGTCCAGGAGCCCAGCTGCAACACAGAGCAGCAGCCTCACTGTCATTGGGCTGCCCCTTAATGCCCAGTGGTTCCATCCTCTCTTTTGTGTTTGAGTCATGGCCGCAGCTTCCCAGCTCCAATGGCCACAGAGAGCAGCACGATGTGGTCTTTGCAGTGCTGCTCTCTTCTCACTTCCATCCCTCTTCCCCTTCCTCTCTACATCCTTGTGGACACACGTGGACCAGGAAGGTGGCTCTGGACTTTTGCCACCCTCAGCCTCTCACACCAGCCATTTCCAGCACTGACTGCATGTTTATGGCAGAGCCTTTTCCTGAAGCTGTCTCCATGCTCCTGGTGGTAAAGCAGGGCTGCCTGCAGACCCCTGTGTAGGACACGGCTGGAGCAGCACTGGGTCTGAAAAGCAGGATTGCTGAGAAGTGTGGTGCACTGAGGGCTGCCATGGGCACTTGTGCTGGGGAACTCTTCCCCACCCCGAACACACCTGTCCTGTGCAGTGCAGTCATTGCAGAGCCGTGCCTGGGACAGTGCACTGATAGGCCACAGATGGGAAACCCAGCACGGCCATCAGGAGGTGGAACCAGGTGGTCCTGGCACACAGGGAGCCGGGCAGGAGGCAGCGGTGTGCCCTGGCAGAGCAGTCAGGGAAGGCTGAGGGCACATCACTGCAGCCTGTGAGAGCCTGCATGGAGATCTTAGAGAATACAGAGCCACACTCCGTGCTGTTGTGCACAGTGGGGGGATGAAAGTGATGGGTGAATCTGGAGGCACTCTGCCTGAAGGTAAGGAAAAGATTTTCCACTCAATTCAAGGCTCCTCTTGAGCAAGGTGGCTACTGTCATGTCCCTACTAGGATAGTGCTTATGGGATGTGTTTCCTGTTCCAAATTGCCGCCTGCTGGACAAGCAGCCTCCTGAGACAAACAAGTCCACACCATTAGCATCACAACTTGTGCCTTCCAAGCTCTGCTTGCTAAGAAACATAGAATCACAAAGGTTGGAACCTTTACTGTCATCTCCATCACTTTCACTCCGCGGACTGTCAGAGCTCAGGCGGGATATGTTGCTTTCAAGCCCTGTATTGTTCGTACATAAAGCCTGAAACAAAGTGTGCTGAAATCAGACCCTACTGTGCAGAAAAAATAATAATAATAATAAATAAAGCATGAAGAAAAAGATGATGTAAAGCAGTAGCTTTACAGCTGAGAAGTCTGTGCTGGTTTAATAAGTGAAAGCCTCCACACTCCTGAGAAAAGGATCTACTACTGCCTAGATTCTTTTGCTGTTTTGTGCTGTCACTGGCAGAGGTCTTGCAAAGTCAGTCTGCATAGGACTTCCCTATCTTGATGCTGGACAGAGGCTTTTATTCCAGAGTTATCTGCATTGGGCATCGCAGAAGAAAGGCAGTTCCTGCACCAGCAATTGTATGTTTCTTCATATAAGGTCACAACTCATGGTTCTGTTCTGTGCTCGGAGTGATTTGTCTTCACTCTTGAATGCTGTGATTTAATTTTCCTTCAGTGAGTATGAGTCACAAATGAATGCTTATTCCTTTTTGCCTCTACAGCTCAATAAATCTTACTTTTCCCTTACTCTGCAGATCGACCTGATGAGTCTTTTGGCTTTATTTGCTGCATTTTCCTTAGCTAGACAAGAACATTATGGTCTAGTGGGATGAGCTGATGGGTTCCATCCCAGCCTCTTGAAGCGACCTGCTCTTGAGTCTTACAGCCTGTGTTTGCAAGAGATGATTCAAGGTTTTCAACGCTCTCACATGAGCTTCTTACTGCACAATCAAATATAGGCAAGGCCACACAGGTGGAACCAAGTGGGCACCACCTGCAGGCTGCCCTGCTCCACGGAGCTGCTGAGGCTGTCCCGGGGCCAAGGAATCTGAGCATCCCAGCACAGCCATGAAGGCCACATCAGACACGCAGCACAGTAAGGCACTACTCTGACTTCTCTGTGTGCAGTGCTATTCTGGTCAAGGTCACTGCTCAGGATGTTCTTGAACAAGGCTTCAATTATGCAGGCTTTGACTGCCCCCACAAATAGGGCATATATAACTTCTTAGTGACTCCAATTCCAGTGAGTCCAACTAAAAACAGTCTTATTAACATCCAATCTAAATCTCCCACTTTTAGTTTGAAGCAATTCCCCTTCGTCCTATTTCTATCCAACCATCTCATCCTAACCCTGGCGTTTGGCATCTCATCCTCAGATGGAAACCCAGGGGCTGAAAGGGGACTAAGGTCCTCACAGAACCATGGGACTGGGGAGTCCTCTTAGCTGAATTCAGATGTTCACAACGATGTGCCTGTGTGAGCCCCTCATCTGAATGCTTGGCATTTATTCCCAATGGAGTGGGGTCTCCATTGTTCAAGCAGACCCTGGGCGATGACCAAGGTGCCTGGGGTGCTCCTGGATGTGTGCTAGTGCTTGTAAACTGCGTGGGAAACATCTGAGATAGACACCTCCTTCCTGAGCATCAGCTGAGGGCCAGGGAGGGAACAGAGGATGTCCAAGAATGCCTAACTGACAACAGACTCCAGTATCAAGGGCACCCAAGTGTGCCTTTTCCACCCACCTCCATGGAGCGTACAGAGTTATTCAGCTGGATAAATGGATGAGTTCATAAAAGAAGAGCCAGATTTTTCTCTGTTCTTCATCTGCTGCACATTCTGGAGCACAAAGCACTACGGAACTAACACACATCTTTATTCTTCAGCTGACGAAACTTCATGTTACTCAAGGCTCACATGTTAATAGCATCAGAAGCAACCCAGTGTCACGCCAGTTCCCTGGGGTGCCCAGCAACTCACATAGAATCATAGAATCACAAGGTTGGAAACGACCTGTAAGATCACCTAGTCCAACCATCCTCCCATCATCGTTGCTACCACAAGCTACTACACCATATCTCATAGTTCCTCATCCAGACATCTGTGAACACTGCCAGGGACGGCAACTCCACCACCTCCCTGGGCAGCCATTCAGTGCCTGACCACTCTCTGAGAAAAAAAGTTCTTCCTTATGTCTACTCTAAATCTCCCCATGCTTCCAGCTGTTTCTTCGGGTCCTGTTTGTTGCCGGGGAGAAGAGGCCAAATCCCTCTCCACCACAACTTCCCTTCAGCAAGCTGTAGAGTGCAGTGAGGTCTCCCCTGAGCCTCCTCTTCTCCAGACTAAACAATCCCAGCTCCCTCAACCGCTCCTCATAAAGTTTGTGCTCCAGACCCCTCACCAGCTTTGCGCCCTTCTCTGGACACTCTCCAGGGCCTCAATGTCTTTCTTGTAGTGAGGGGCCCAAAAGTGAACATAGTACTCGAGGCGTGGCCTCAGAAGAGCTGAGTACAGAGGGATGATTACCTCTCTGCTCCTGCTGGCCATGCTATTTCTAATGCAGGCCAAGATGCTGTGGGCCCTCTTGGCCACCTGGGTATACGGTTGGCTCATGTTCAGCCAAGCATCAACCAACACCCCCAGGTCTCTTTCCTCTTCATTGTCATGCAGCGACTCAGCCCTAAGCCTGTAGCCCTGCATGGGGTCATTGTGGCCAAAGTGCAGGACCCGGCACTTGGCCTTGTTGAACCTCATCCCACTCACCTCAGCCCAGTGATCCAGCTTATCCAGATCCCTCTGAAGGGCTTCCCTACCTCAGGCAGATCGACACTACCTCCCAACTTGGTGTCATCTGCAAACTTACTGAGGGTGCACTCAATCCCCTCATCTAGGAAATCAGTGAAGATATTAAACAGGATGGTTCCTAGTACCGACCCCTGGGGGACACCACTTAAAACGGGTCGCCAACTGGACTTAACTCCATTAACCATTACGTGCTGGGCATGGCCCTCTAGCCTGTTCCTTAACCAAAGAAGAGTATACTTGTCCAGGCCAGTTGCCCCAGGAGAATACTGTGAGAGACCATGTCAAAGCCTTTGCTCCCAAGGGACGCATGCTACAAGTGTCCTGAATGGGTCAAAGTCCACCCTCCCTGCCACTTTTCCTTCTGGCACGCCAGTGACTCCACCAGTCCACCTCCCACTCACACTCCCTGGTGGCCCTTAGTCTCTCCACCTCCTCCTTCAGCTCCCCCACCAGGCTGAGCAGCTCATCCACCTGCTCACACCTCACACTGCTGGAATCCCTGCCACCCTCCCCCGGCAGCAGCAGGCTCAGGCACCTGCACCCTCAGATCTGAACAGCCGCATTTCTTGGAAGGCCCTTCGTCTGGGTCACCACGGTCTTCCTGCAGTAATCCCGCTGTCTTGTGGAGACCGTGTTGAAGCCTGTGGTCTCAGAGAGTGCCCAGAGGAACGCCTGTCTCCTGAGCCGAGAGGGACAACCCTTACACACCCTGCCACTTGACCCACCTCCCACACCCACAGCTGCAGCACCGCAGAGGCAGCGTGGGCTGAGCTCACACACAGACTTACCATCGCCCTTCTCAGCAGGCAGCAACAACCTGCTGTGCTCTGTGGCCAGAAGCGAGCCTCCGCCGAGGCTGTTGGAAGATTATCACCATGGACCAGGTGTCGAGGTCAATAGTGGGCAGTGCCAGCCCCACCATGCTCACTCAACAGCCTGCCTACAAGCTGCCAGCCTACTGGCACAAGTGCAGCCCTGCTACTGGCTGAAAAAAAGCCTGCCCTGAAAGTGAGCTTCCTCAGAGTTTACTCACATTTTACTCCAGGTTTACTCATACTTTACAATGTGCTCTAGTCACCCTTTACTTTGGTTTTACTCCCAATTTATGCTGGGTTGACTCTTACTTTACTCAGTGTGTACTCACACATTCCTCTGTTTCACTCACACGTTACTCCACAATTACCAGCACTATACTCCAGGTTTACACACACTTCATGCCAGGTTTGCACACAATTTGCTCTGGGTTTTCTCTTACCCTTCTCCATGTGGACTCACATTTTCCTCTGGATTTTACTCACATCTTACTCCACATTTGCTAACACTATACTCCAGGTTTTCTCACACTTGACACCAGGTTTGCTCACACTTCTCTCCCTGTTGTTTTTCTCACAATTCATTCCATGTTTACTAACACTAGGCTGTGAGTTTTCTCACACTTTACTTATGGTTATCTCCCAGTTTACTTCAAGTTTATTCTCACTTTACTTTGGGTTTACTCAATCTTTTTAGTGTGTTTTACTCACAATTTACTCAAGGCTTACTCACACTTTTCTTCCAGTTTACACACACTTTATTCTAGGTTTACCCAAACTTTTCTGCAGATTTTACTTACTCTCTAATTCATCTGTA